TCTTGAAACACAATTTTACTAATATGGAACTTATTAGTATTTTGAGGGCTAATGTTCCGGGATGGTTTAACAATACAATTGTATGAATTTGTGGTAATGTTTGCGGGCATCTATGATTATGATTAGACTAATTTAAAATGGACAAACACACAGACCTCTCAGATTTACAAAACTGTTTTTAACTCTTGTTGAAACTTCCTAAAAATAAAAGTTTTTGTTATTTGTTTCCCTTTTAATTGCTAAGGAATTCTACTAAGTGTTATGAAAGCCTTTGTTCTTAATAAAATATCTGCAAGGAAGAATCACATTGGGCTGTGAAATTATTGAAACTGGTTTCTAGAACAATGCCAACCTGCAGGCTTCAGCGCTGCCTTGGTCTTTAGGATACAGGCTCCGTAAAATCAACCGATAATGGGCAATTGTGCAGCTTCTCTTCCAGCCCTCACAGCTGTTTATCTGGAAAAGAAGGCTCTACCAGTTCTGCAGGAGTTATTTAATGTTATCAGAGAGGCTCAATTATTTTAAACAAACAATGTTTACCCAGTCCTTTCCTGAGCACTTCTCACCAGCTTTGATCTGTTTGGGAAAAATGGAAACGAGGATCTGAGAGCTCTCAGAACGAGAAAGTTCGTGAGGTATTCTTCAATGTAGGGTTTTTTTCTTTTTATAGCTATTAGCTGAAAACATTATAGCAATATGTATTTTTAGCTAAATACACAGAAGGGAATAAAGACCCATACAGTGTGAAAGTGAGTGCACAACCTCGACGTGCCCGTCAACCAGAACCCATGTTCTTGGTTCAGCCGTGGCGAGGAGAGGTTTGTGTTACTGACAGACAAAAATAAACTGAAATAGTCTTAAAAACTTTTTCTCCAGATTCTTTCTTTCCTAATTAATACAGTGATACTGAATGTGATGTAAAAAGGGGTGGTAGAGGCAATTTATACTTCTCATTACTTTAGACCTGCAGCATTTTGTTCATGTAGCGACATAGGGCCTGTAACTGGTTCTTCAAAGGCAAAACAACAACAAAAACGAATGGCTCTATTTTCCTATCGGTAAGTAAATCTTTCACTTAGAGCTTTTATCAAAGAAGAGGAGGATATTTTAAACTTTTTCTTAAAATAATTTTTTGAGGGGTGTACAAATTATTTAAAGGTGACTTTTCCATAGTATATCCAACCAGGTTAATTCTTCTAAATAAAGACATATGAATGGCTTAGGATGGTTGTGCGTTTTCCTCAGAAAAGCAACCTCAGCCAGTTTGTGTCAGGAATTGGGTGAATCGAACACAAGCATGGTTTTCTTAATCTTTTTTCTGTTCCTGTGATGGGAATGGAACTCAGAGCCTCATGCATGCCAGGCAAGGGCTTTATCACTGAGCTACACCCCCATCCCTAACTACAGAATTGTTAAGGAAACAGTCCCAATGACTCCAAATTATTCTTTTCTCTGAAAGAATTTTTGGGTTGTTCAAAATAAATAACATAGTTCAAGACATTGGGGAGAGGTCTGTTGGAGCTTGTGCCAATTAATCTGAATTGTCAACTTGAGTGGATAAGAAACTCTTGAAGAGATGACTGGATGGAGCATGTGTGTGTGCTGTACTTATCAGTAGATTGATCCACTGACAGTCATAGCTCCATGTGCAGCTAGGAGTAGGGGTCCAGTTAGAGGGTGCAGGTCACTAGGGTGTGCCTTTGGAGGGTGTGCTTGTCTCTTGAGCTCTTCCCTTATGCTCTGCTTCTTAGCATGAAAGGAGAAGCTTTGATCTTCCATGCTCTTTCCCATGATGCTGCTGCCTGGAGCTAGCTGACCATGGACTGAAACCTCTGAGACTGTGAGCCGAAATAAACCTCTCCTCCCTCAAGCTGTGGGGATCGGGTATTTGGTCTCAGCAATGCAATAGCTATCACCGAGTTTAGAAGGTGATACTCCAAGTATGTCATTTCGATATGTAGGTTGCTTCAAACTGAGAGCACTTGAGGACCTGCAAATGCAGGGAGGAGTGTTTTCCTTCTAGTTTCTTTATCTGACCAAATGTCACAGCAGAGGAAGCTGTCACCCATTCTTCTCAGGGCTGATCCAGAGAGTTTGATTACCTGACATATTCCTTATCTGCATGACCAGACCTTTGTTGCTGTTCATTTCCTTTCCTCACTCCTCTTCTCTAGCTTGTGGGGGGATAGGAGGATAGCCCCAAGTCCCTATTCCTTCATGCTATATAAACTTCAATTGTATGGTTCTCCTCTGAGCCTTACATTTTCTGAGACTTCTGTGCATATCAATATAGTTAAAACAGCTTATCTCCTGTTAATGTATTGCCAGTTTATTTCATAGACTCATTAGTCAACCTTCAGAGAGCAGAGATAAAAGCCTTTGTCTTCCCCCTACACAGCCTTCAGGATTTAACAGATAGAGAAAGAATTGTGTTGCTTTGTATATCTGATAAAATTTTATGTAGCTAGTTCCGCTCTGGCCCACACAGGATCAGCTACAAGGCAAAGTTGGTGCCTGGCTTTGCTGTAATTGGCTGGCATTGCTCCTAGACTCAGGGTCAGACTGCCTGAGTTCAAATCCTGTCTCTACGCTTGTTAGTTATATGACCTTGGGCAAATTAACTGTACCTTCAATGACTCATCTATAAAAAAGACCTATCAGTAGAACCTACCTTTGTGTGAACTAGTTGGTTTAACAGACGTAGTGATTTGGGGAAAAGTGCCCATGCAGAGCAAACATTTCATTAATATTACTGCTATTGTTTTTATTATTCCTCTCTGGTGTCCTGGGAGTTTCTTTTAAACCTTCTTTTATTTGTTCCTATATATGTGCTCTTTATTTTTTGCATGTGTGTAGTGACATATTAAGTCTTACCAGTACACTTAAAAACATTTATGAACAAGTCAGCCAAAATTTTAGGGTTGAAGGTCTTCCCAAGACTCTAAAGTTTTACCATGTAGTTTATTTACTTCAGGTTCATAAATTGCCTAATAAGCAAAGTGAAGATTCCCATTTGAGGAGCAAAGAACTACTGTTTTCCTCATAAGGCATGAAAAGGATTGATAAAGAATTAAAAAGAGAAAAATACCCTGTTCTTAAATGACATGGGTTTTGTTTCTTTATGAGATAGGCTGGAGACATTTCAATTCATCTTATTCCATAGCATAAAAAACAGTATCTTCCTCCTGAGTATTCTCTTCCTTGACAGCCTTTCTTTACTCTAAATTATCATGTGTAGGTCAGCTTGGACATTATTCTCTCTGAGAAGCTGACTGCCTAAGACCTTCCTTGAGCTCTTATAACAACTATTTCACCACTTATCTTCCAATTAAAGCATTTGGCATCCACATTAGAATCACCTCTGAACTCACCATTCTCTTCCATTTGAACCGCAGCTCCATGTGAACAAAGAAATGAGTTATTAGCTTATTATCGTACACTTGGCACTAGCACTGTGCTCGTTATAACATAGCAGGTGCTCAATAAAATTTTGTCGTGTTATGTTGGACATACCAAGGCCTTCTAACTTTGGTGTTGGTGTCCCGTTAGCTTTGAGCATCATAAACATGGCCACTGTAAGAGTTGGGTGAGTCTGAGACATTGTTGGATGTATTTTCAAGACACTATATGCAAACATGTAGCGTCACAGAGAATCTTTGAAATTGGCCCTTTCTCCCCCTCTTTTGCACTCTGCCCCTACAAAATTCTTTTTGCTGAAGAGAAGTCCTTCCATAGATTTTCTTTAAATAGCTGCAGGAGGTTAAGTCTCTTACAAAGATCTGGTCAGAGAAGGGACACACACCTGGAAATCAAAGATCTCACGAGTGGGTAGTGCTCCTGCTCACTCTACAAACTTCTTCTCTTGTAAAAGCCTTTCGGGCCTCTGAGTGCCCCTGTTCCAATATAGAGATCTGAGGTAGAAAGAAGCCCCTCTCCTTTTAAGGGCTGGCCTTAAATAAACCGGATTCCTTCCACCTACTCTGGTCTCCCAAACTGTTGGTCACGCTGAGCAGCAGACAGCAGGACACTTCAACGTGATAACTATTAACAAGAAGGCTGAACTAGGCCTATAGAGTTCCCACAGCCACAGAAATGTGCTTCCATTTCTACTTGCTTTCATTTTGTCCTGCTTCACTCTTCAAATCTAATCCTTAGCTCCTGAGAAATGAATCAACCCTGATAAGTTGTCACGGAGGCTGCACAAGACCTACAGCAGGCACCGGGGTGAAGAATTGGCTACTTTCTCTCTTGTTCATTTTTTTTTTTTTGGTTTTGGTTTTTCTCTGGTACCAGGAACTGAACTCATGACCTTGTGCTTGCCAGGCAGGTGCTTTGCAGCTGAGCTAAATCCTCAGCCCCTTCATTCTTTTTTTTTTTTTAAAAAAATGTTACCCCAGAATGCTGCTGTATCTATTCTTCTGTTGACAAGTGATGGATGCGCTGATGGTTTGTTTCCTTTTCCATTTCCTGGCCTTGGGTTACTCAAAGATTTCCTCCAGAGTTTTATGAGCACAGTATCTTTGCTGCCTTGGATAATGTGGGGTTAACTTCCTCTTGGAAGAGATAATCTTACCTGAGTCACTCAAAGGCTTCTTGCTATTCGGAGTCCTTTCTGAGTGTCAAATTAAGCCCCGCTGGACCCGGGGCTTCCCTTCTGTCACCTATCTTCCTGTAGATCTCACTTGTTCATTTCTCTCTGCCTAATGAGATATGCAAAATGATGTTGCTGTTTTGTTGAAGGAGAAGCCCTTTGCCTTCTTATTTTTGAATGAGAAGAAAAGGTCTTTTAAGAAGGTATGCTGCGTCATGACTATGTGCCTCTACCTCCTCTAATTCTTACTTTACAGAGGAAGTGACTCATAGTGCAGATAAACTGGACTTGAAAGAATGCCTGGCTTATGCAGAGCTCTTATTTACATACTATTCTCTTTCATTCATAAGGAAATAGGTACTCAAAGACTTTAGCTCTGGAGTTCTTCCTTTTCTGTTCCTGCTTTTTGATAGGTAGTGGCCTACAGGCTCCCTGGGAGGATTTTCTGGATTTGTGCCATGCAACTTTCTTTTCTTGAAAACAGGAATTTCATGAGTAGGACTCCAGCTACCAGAGAGAAATCGTAAGAAGTTCCTCAAAGACTCACCCCCTCCGCTGGGATCTACTGTCCCCTTATCTGTCTGGGTGGGGGTTATTTTATATCTTATTATGTTCTCCATAATGTTTAGTAAAGCCGTGCCATAGAGCAGCTGGGGACAAATGCTTTAGTGTCAGTCTGGGTCCTGTTTCCTACCAGCTGTGTAATCTTAGGCAGACCATTTAATGTCTCAGCCTATTTCCTCACCCATGGAAGAGACCAGGGACTGTCACTCCAAGATGTGGCACCCTGGTGTACTGCCTTTTTTTTTTTTTTTAACTAAAGGAAATAGAGAGCAGCAGATGCTGCAAGGGGCTGTTCTCTGTTAATTCCTTGTTTGCTTAAAGCTCCACCCACCAAAGACGAAAACAATTACCTGTGGTCCCTTCCCTGAGTTTTCATTAACTAAATTCATATCAGAGGAAGAAAGACTGGATGAAGTGTGTCAACACACCTGGGCTGACTTCTGTGGCACACCATTGTCTTCTATTTTCTCTCCTATTCAGTATTCCAAAGAGAACAATTTACAATCCATTGTTTATTTTGCCAGGCCCAGTGGACTTCATTCCAGGCTGTGGTATATTTCTTCAACCTCATTGAATTCCTCTAAAAACCATTTACTATTGTCTTAAAAATTATCTCCATGCTCCCGTCTCCCCTTCCCTATGGAAAAGGGATATCTAAGTTTCTAAATCCTGCTGGGCTAGTGATTAACAACACTATGTGATTATATGTCTTTTCTGCAGCTGATTGTCTTTGTCACTTTATTCGAGCCAATCCTAAGAGGGCAGAGGGGAAGTTTTCTTTCACTTCCAGACCTGTAAATAGCAATCAGAGTAATCCCTGGATCCAAGGGCTGCTGTAATAGTGAGATGAGGGTTTGTGGAAAGTATATCACATAGTATCTGGCCAATATTTCACCCAGTATTTGAGATTCTCATTAATAAGGATTTTATTTGTAACTCACAGCGTGTATATATATATTTTTAAATTTTAAGTCTCTATTTTATGCCCTTTTGAAATCACTTCTATTTAAACTATTTTCTCTCATATAATTTTCCAGGTTGATGAAAAATTATCTGGGTAGATGAGGAGAAGCATCTACCAGAGGGGAATGTTTGTTGATTACCTGAAACAACAACACTCGTGACAGTTTACATTTCCAGCTGTGCAATCTAAATATACCCTCAAAAATGCAAATTTCTCTGTGAGACTCCTAGGGAAATAGACAGTGGTAGGGCAAGGTGCTTGTTCTACTCAAGTAGAGAGTTAAAGAGGTTCTCAGAGGCTGGGATTCCTGTCCTGCCCACTGGTTTCTGAACCGGAGATGACCTCAAGCTGGGGTGATCTGAAACACTCCCACTTAGATTGGCTGAGTTTCCCAGCACAGCAGCACCCCAGGCAAACAATCCTCCCTTGTTTTCCCAGCCCTTGAAGTACCTCTCTCATACTCTGGGACAGTTATTAATCCATCACAGCTTGCACACTCATTCAGGTATGAACGACTTTTAGGGTGAACTCCTCGGAGTTTTTCTCATAGATTCTACTCTTCATTCCTTTAAACTCACTTTTACTCTCGGAGTCCTACTTTCATTCATTCATCTGTTCTCTCCATCTGTTCCTCCCACTCCCAATGAACCCCTTATTCCGTGGTGAGTGGAACCCTGAAGACCTGCTTTCAAGAATTAGTGACACGGGGCCGGGGATATAGCTCAGCAGTGCAGCGCCTGCCTGGCAAGCGCAAGGGGCTGAGTTTGATTCCCAGTACCAAAATAAACAGATAAATAAATGAATGAATAATAAATAAATAAAGTGACACAGACACAAACTCAGAAATTATTTTGGATGATCTGGGGATGTAGCTCAGCAACACAGTGACTTCTTGACAAGTGCGAGGTCATGAGTTTGAGTCCCAGTACAAAAAAAAAAAAATTATTTTGGAAGCATCTTCTCTGTGCCAGGTGCTATCCTAGGGAGATTCTGAGTGTGCATGTGAGTGTGCATGTGAGTGTGTGTGTGTGTGACAGAGACAGAGAAAGACAGAGAGACAAGGAGAGATAGAGAGACAGAGAGAGACAGAGAGGCATGAGAGAGACAGACACAGAGAGAGACAGACAGGGAACAAGGGAGTAAAACAAAATTTGTCTTTTTGGAACTGATGAGCGAGCCTCAACAAGGGTGGTTTTAGGGTACCTTTAGGACCCATCCAGAACCCAAATTTTGCAATTTTGTCACTTTCTTGATTCCATTCGACTTTGGCTTCCACTCCATGGCAGCCGTCGTTTTACATAGGCCTTTACAGTTCCTCGGCATTACAATTACACTTGCCCTTGTCATCGCCCAGCGCTGAAAGCTAAACTCCAGCGACTGGCTTGCTCAGCACAGCTGCCCGTCCCTCCAGCTTTCCCATCCCTGTGTTGCAGCCATGCATTTTCTGTGGGACTCCCGCTTCCTTTTTCTCTCTTAGCCTATCAGTTACTTCCTTCCCATCCAGTCCGGACAAGTTAATGGCTTACTAGCTGGGGATATAGCTCAGCAGCACAAGTGCCTGCCTGGCAAGCGCAAGGTCCTGAGTTTGATTCCCGGTACCCAAAACAAAACAAACCAAAAAAACCAAGTAAGTCTTACTGCTTCAATTTTTCTCTAGTCAATTCTAACCCATCCCTTTCACCTTCTTCTGCTGTCACACCCTTCTAGATCCTTCCCTGTGTCCATGCCAATCCTCCATTTTCACATCAAGGTCTGAATGATGCTAAGAAAAAGCCATCCAACGTTGTCACAAAAATTTATTGTTTTCAATTTTAAGATTTCAAGTTTGAAAGCTACTGAGCAATCTTTCCACTAGTTTTAAGCTGTCTCTTCACTCTCCACCACTGTCTTATTTTTACTTCTGTTTTTTTAAAATGTATATTTTCATTTAAAGGTTTTTTTATTATGGAAAAATATAAACATATAAAAGTACAAGCAATAGTATCATAAATTTCCACATACCTATCCCTTAGTTTATGATCATTTTGTTCCATTTATAGTTTTTATCTCACATCCAGGTCATTTTGAAGCAAATTATTACTCCAGTTATTTTAACTCTTTAATGTCATATTATTTATGTATTTTGAAACATGTTTAAAAAAAATTTTTTTTTTTTTGGTCTTTTTGAGACAGGATCTCATTATGTAGTTCAGGCTGGCCTTGAGCTCACTTTGTAGCCCAGGCTGGTCTCGAACTCACAAGGATCCTCCTGCCTCAGTCTCCTTTGTGTTGGAATTACAGGCATACACCACCATGCCTAGCTAGATGTTTAAAAATCAGTCACAATAGCATTATCTAAAAAAAAAAAAATTACCTGTCATTAGACATACAAGTAGTTTTTATACTTCCCTAACTGCTCTTTGACTTCTCATTTGAATTAGGATGATATGTCTGTTAAATCTCTTAATGTAAAACATTCCCCTACTTTTCTCTGTTTTCTTGCTTTTTATTTCCCCCTAGGGTTGAAAACACTGGGTTTCATGATTGCCTTTTGAAATTATCATCACAGTACTGTGCCTCTCATTTCTGCCAGTTGATCAGGATTTCCTAGAGGAGCTGCTTAACTACCTGCCCTCCTGTCTGTAACACTATAACACCTACACATACATCCATCATTCCTCCTCTGCTGTTTCCCAGGAAAGCTATCCTTTCTCCCGCCTAAGCCCAGTTCTTCCACTGTGTCCTTCTGAGCTCCCTTCCCTTGTGCCTTCTTGGCATTTAAAAAAAAATACTCTCTTGCCTGTGTACTTAGCATCTCCCTGACCTTTTCCCATCATCTTGACTGTAAAGCTGCACCAGCTGGCCGAATAACACACAGGCGCCTCCAGACTGCTTTTAGCCTTGTGTCTCATTTTGGTTTCATCTTCCTTTGAAAGCCATGCTTCAAAACTGTTCTCTGCATTCATTTTGTACACTCTTGTAACTTCCATGTACCCCCTAACTCACTCCTGGCTTCAGTTTCTGTCACTCTGAGGAAATAGTGCTCTGCTTTCTAAGGTCAGTGTAATCCTTCTCTGGCTAAATGCATGGCTGGGGTGTAAGTTGTGATCTACTTGATATCTTTGTGGCATTTGATGGTGTGGCTCACTCATGGCTTTTTTTCTTTGTTTGGCCTTGTTCTGGATGCAGGAGACTGAACCGAGGGCCTTGTGCATGCCAGACACGTGCTCTACCCCAGAGCTACATCCTCAGCCTTCACTGCTTCTTGAAACATTCTCCAGCTTTCATAACTTGGTCTTTTCAGGTTTTCCTCTTAGCTGTCTGATTGCAACTTCATAACTCCTCTGAAGGCTTTCCTTCCTCCCTGTGCCCTGAAGTTTAAATATTTTGTGAGTTCTACACACTTTTCTTGGATGATCCTATCTATTCTTATGAGTCTCTGGCTCTGAAATCTCTCTCTTGAGAAGTGGACCTATGTAGCCACCTGTCTACTGGACAGACCCAACATAGCTTAAACTTGAGTCATGATCTTCCCACTTAAACTTCTGCCTCTTTCTGCATTATCTGACTTTGTGAATGCTATCACCTCTGTGAGAAAGTAAGGCTCTGTCTTTTCTATCAAAGGATATAAACAGAAGTGCTCCTGTCTTAGACTCTCCTCCACCCTAGGTGGCCTCTTTCAAACACACTGAAATTACCAGAAGTGCTTTCTGCATTTAAATTCTGGAAACACACCTACAGACCAAGATAGTTTATCAATAGCCAGGGACTTTCTCTTTCTCTTACCTTTTCCCCTCCTGCTCTTCCTTTCTCGTATCGTCCCTTTGGATCCTCCCGTCACGTCCCTTAAACTAGCCAACTTTGGTAGATTGTAAGCCCTTGAATTCAGTCAGTGAATTTAAAGAATAGCTGCTTCTCATGGGTGAGGGCTTAAAAACTCCCACTTCCCCACCGCTTGGTGTATCTGCTACGCTGTGTCTGAGTGCACTCGTGCCCTCCTGCAGAAGTGAACTTAAAACTTTGCCTGAGCGCACACTTTCTAGTACTGACAATTTGAGTCAGGGGCTCATTTCTAACACCACCTATCTAGATGCTCAAGTCAGAAATTTAATAATTATTCTTGACAAGCTCTTCTCCTAACCTGTTCTTTTTGCTCCTATTTCTAACAAATCCACAAATGATACTAACCTTTTTTTTTTTTTCTACCACCAGGAGTTGAATCCAAGACCTTCACACTGACCTACATCCCCAGCCCACTTATTTTTTATTTTCCGACAAGGTGCTGCTAAGTTGCTAACTTGCCCAGTCTGGATTCAAGCTTGTGACTCTTCTGCCTCAGTCTCTGCTAATCTTATTATCATTCTCTTTTGATGTTCTCTTTCCTAAAGCTTTCTGTGTCTTACATAAATTGCTACAATGTTGCAATAGCCATAATGGGTCATGCCTATGACCTGCTTCCAATCCATTTCACACACTGCAAAGCAAGCTGTCATGTTTCTGTAGTGCATGACCTCCTCCAGCCTCTTCATTCCTCTGGGAAAAGAAAGAAACAGGTAGCAAAGTATGAAGCCCTATTGACTTAGCTGCTTTACCTCACCTTCCTCTTTTCCTTTCCCCACCTCTACCCAGAAACAGTCTATAATTTGACCCCTAAATCTGTGCACAAAGTTACTTAATATCCCTTTCAATGTCCTCCCTTCTTTTTGTTTAACTCAACCTTTGCACTTCCTGTGAGGAGTCATGTCTTCTAGGAAGTCTTCTCTGACCTCCAGCCTAAGTTAGTGTCTTAGTTACTTTTCTCATTGCTGAGACAAAATACATGACACCCAGAGTTAAAGGAGGAAAGGTTTATCTAGCTCACAGTTTGTAGAGGTGTCAGTCCATAATCAGCTGGCTCCATGGCAGGTGGCATATGGTGAGGAGCAATAGTTCATGGTGATGAAAGATACAAAAGCAATAAGAGGGGAGGAGCAAGGTCCTTGTCCTCCCTTATATTGTATGCAGGCTACCCACCTTAGGGTAGGTGTAGCACTCACATCCCCACTTCTAGCACAGATGATGAACCAATCACAAACTCTAGATTTAGATGCCTCTGAAAAGCCCGTTCCCACGACCACATGAGGCTTTGGGGGAACATCCAGACACAAACCATAATAGTTAGGCACAATTTTATTTAACTGCCATGAAAAATCCCATGTGATAAACCATGCTCACTGTGTGCCTATCCTGTTTCATTTATTGATTTCTCTGAGAAAGCCTAAGCCAGGCCCCCCAAGTCATGGAATTCCCAGCCAGAAAAGACATTTTAATTTTACAGGTGAAGATTTGTTCATGGTTTACTACCTTTAAGAAGGGAACCCAAATGTCCTATTTAGAAAAGTAAAACACTGTTTACAGAGGATCTGCCTGTTAACTGAGGTATCTTTAGGGTATAAAGATAGAAACCCTTCCTTCAAGTTACTAAGTGGGATACAAGGGATAAAATATCTTCTTAAATAAGTAGAATATAGTCAATAATAATAGACTGACAGCACAAGAGAAGTAGAGTTAAAATATTGTGAAACTTCAGAGAAGACCCTGATAGAGGGCTTTAGGGTCACAAAGGAAGAGAAAGAGGCCCTTGGAGGGCTGGTATTTGAGCTGAACTTCCAACTTCAGTGGAGCATAAATAAATCCAGGGGGAAGGCCTTTGGGGAGAAGGGTAGAGAGGAAACACAGAGACCAGCTTGAATTTCAACTACGGGCATAATTTGCTAAATATCCTTTGGAGAGTTAGTAAGCGATTTTATGGTCATTTTTTATTATTACAGAAATTTTACAGCACTAAATCACAGATCTTTTGCTATTGGAAAAATATTTATATAGAATAGATATATAGAACTGAATCAAGTTTCCCCATAAAGTCAACATTGAGCCTAACTACTGAATTTGATTCAGTTCTCATCTAATTTGGTTTGTGACCAGAATCATGGAAAGAATTAAGATCCTGAACGAAAGTACCACTGTATTACAATCTATGTTCCTAGGGGTTTTTTTTGTTTGTTTTTGTTTTTTTTTTTTTTGACCACTGTGTTACCCTGTTATTTTGGCTGTTTATTATTTTGTAACATTCAGAGAATTAGAAAGTTGGTAACATTTACTTATTTTTTCAGGAAATGGTTATTGATCCTCACTGAGGGCTGTCTACAATGGCATCTACAAAGATCAGTAAGACAAAGTCACTGCTTCCAAGAAATCAGTGTCGTAGTATTGGTAAGAGATAGAAAGGCTACGTGGTGGTTAAAGAACTGGGTGATAAATACTGTGACAAAGGTGTGAGATGCTATGGGAGCTGAGCCAATGAAACATCTACCTTCTGGTTTGAAGGTAGATGAAACCATCAAAGAAAATATGAAGGCCAAAACAGGCAGGCCCACAGATAGAGATGAATGAGAGCTGAACGGGTAGAGCCAGGGGAGCTGATTTTCTGTATTTTTGCAGACTTGGAACTGAGCTATGGCAAAAAATTTCCCTGATATCTATTGTTTTAAGAGAAAAGGAGAAGTAGAATAAGGCAAGAGAGAAAGGAGAAGGCCTAGTTCCATAGAGTCAGCTTTGCAGTTCTTATGCTGTGTGAATGAGGAAAGCTACTTAATATCTCTGGGGATCTACCAGTTGGGGCTGGGTTAGATGATCTTTAAGGCCTCTCCCAGCTTGAATGACTTAGGATCCTGTTTCCTCTCTGGTATGAAATGAGACACAAGTATGGTGACAAACACTAGACCAGGATCTTTGGGGCAGCTGAAAAACAATGAAACCCATTTTCAGATCTTTTTCCTCCGCGAATGAGTAGTGTTAGGTTTTTATCCATCAGCAGTGGCTATTCATCTGCTCCTTTTTTTTAGCGGGAGGAAGGGATTGATTTTTTAAAAAAACATTCTGACACCGTTTCTTGCCTCTTTGTCAGTACTACTCATGGACCACATAATATGGTGATAAGAACTGAAATTATTCATTAACATTATCATGGAGCTATTTTGAAAACATTATCTCATTTCATTTCCTAGAATATCACCAAGTCTCCACGATATCAGTTTCTTAAAAGAGAATGCTATTTTTGTTCCAACACAGCCAAAATATTTCAGTGAATTTTGTCTGCAGTTCTAACTTCCTTCCCTAATACTGTAGCCCAAAGTAGTACTTTTTGCAAAGTCTTTGCCGGAGCAGCATCTGGTATAGCTTGCAGAATTTGAAGTTAGCTGCTTTTGGTAACGTATCTTTACTTTTTGTATAGATTACTTGGATTAGCGGGCAAATTTTAAATCCTGGGCGGAGTTTCTGTTGTCGTTACCTGTGAATCTGTCATTTCTTTCCCCATCCCCACCCTCCATCTAGTTATCACATGCTCAGGCAGTGTTGGCAACGCAGCGCTTCACAGTTGAAGCCACCTCAAATGGGTATTTCATATATTGTTGCTAGAAAAATAGCTTTCATATTACTCAAGAGGATAATTTGACTTGTTTGCATTAATGGAGAAAAGTGATTGTCTAATAAATCAGTCACCTCTTTTGCCTGATCTTGAATCCTTATTCAGGAGAACAGAAAAAGCAAACATTCATTAGGATTTCAGTGGAAGGATTATTTTAAAAAGCCTAACAAGTTCCATTTGTTTTTTTTAGCCTTTTCTGATTTATTTACAGGCACATGATTCACTTACCCATTTAATTCATTTTTTTATATTGCTCTCTAAACTGCTATGTACAAAGCTAATTTTAGGCAGCACCTTTCCATAAGTTTAAAGCAACTGGCTCAGGGGGAAGAGAGTTGATCAGGAGTGTGTCTTCATGTCCAAAGTCAGAGGCACAGGAAGATAGTTTGGAACTTCTGGGAGGCTCAAGGCTTGATGGCTGATGTTTCACAGGAACTTGTTTCAGCAATAATCGTGCCTCGGCTGTATGAGTCATGAACATTAAAATAGGCAGTGCCATCAGCCAGATGCAATGGAAAATAGTTAACACAGAAAATATGGGATGGCCATCTTACCTACATCAACGTGACTACTATGTTTGAGTCCTTTAAGCCCGCTAATTATTTTTGGAGTGAACTAATGTATAGATGAGTAAACACATGTTAACATGTTGCTGCCATTACTAGCCCAAGAGCAGAATTCTTTGCAGGGCAGATTGAGACTGAGACCAATTAGGATCACTAAATGATCACTTACGTGGCTGCTTCACAGAGAATTTAGCAATAAACAATTCCACCATTTCTTTTGGACATTTTCAGCTACAGCCTTTCTTCCTGTGTGTGTTTTTTTTTAATCATACCTAATTATCACATAGCAATCACTTTTTTTGCTTGTCATTTAATATAGCACGAATTTTCAAAAGTACCTTTGTGTATCATACAATGCTTTTAAAGCTTCTCCAAGGACTGTGCCTTGGACTCTTCATTATTTTCTAAATTTTCAGATTGTCTTTATGGGTAGAGGAAGAATAGAAGGAAATAGAGAGCTTTTTTTTAAATTAAAACTGCCTTGTTTTTAGACTTTAAAAAATTCTTTTAATTTTCAATTGACACATAATGATTTTCTACATTTATGAGGGTAATTCCATATAAGCGTACAAGTATAATGACTAGATTTTTAAACACATTTAGTATACTGTGTGTAGGGAAGAAAAAGCGTTCTTTGGGTTTCATTTCTCATAGTATTTTACTGGCCATTTTCTGGGTTTGGAGGGTGCATGATGTTGGGTAACAGGCAAACATGAATGAAGGTTGCTGTGGAAGAGAAGAATTGGTAGTGCCATGAAATTGTTACATTCCTTTAACCAATTCATATGCTAGGTTGCAGTTTCACAGGCATTAGTTTCTGGCCTGAGTCAGCCCCTGGGAAGCCCTGCTCTTTGGGACAATGACACCAGGCTGGAGGACAGGGGGAGACAGCCGCTCAGTAGGTCAACACTATGGAAAGGACCATGGGGGAAAGTCCACTATGAGTGGACAGTGCTAGTTAAAGGGAAGAGGACTTCAAAAGGTGTGAGAATGAGTGTTAACAGTTGATTTCAAGTAAATTGGAGGGAAATGAGCCAAAAATGTGGCCACTCTGAGGTTAAGGTCCAGGATAAGAAAAAGACTCAGGTGTCATCTGTGACCAGGTGCCAGGTTGGTTGTATGGAGAGTGAAGCCATTCTACTTACTGGGTGTGCATTATTCACAGAGTGTAGAGGTGTGTGTGTGTGTGTGTATGCTTTAACACACGTGCATGTGTGTATGTGGGTGTGTAGGCCACTGGAAGTTGGGGCAGACTGAAGAAGATGTTTTCCATGTAGTCAACCCACCTCTATTTAATTCCAGATAATCATTTCCATGTTGACCTAATGTTGCCAGGCTTAGTCAGTTTTCAAAAGAAATGATGAACCTAGTATTTTATGCGAACTATTAGATCATAAATGTAGCACTGCATTAAAAAACTGTGAACCAAACTGACTGTATCCATGGGCTGATAGAACCCTTTCGTCATCCACTGGTCACGGCTATTCACAGCTGACTTCAGGATTACGTGATATATGTGAGTATTGTGCTAGTTATTAACTGGCTGACCTCAAAATCTCCATCTGGATAATGGCTCTCGGGAGACTTAGCACATAGGGTTATTTTCAAAGTTAAGGTAATTTACATAAAAGCCTCTGCTACGATGCCGGGCAGATAGGAAGACTCAGTAAGCGCTGGCTCGATCTGAATAAGCAGCCACACGTAGTACTGAGTACTGATTGCTCTTTTTCAGGCCCACACTCATGGCCATATTTGTGGCAGCTGGAGGAAGTATGAGCAGTTATTTACGTCACATGAATTAACAATGACTGCCCTCCACAAATCTCTTCGCCTTTACCTGCCAAGATACATATTTATGAAATAACATATTAAGTATGTATCTATTAAATGTAAATTCTTCCCATTCAAGGGCAAGTGGTCTGGGGGTATGAGGTGTTCTTGGAGATTGTAGATTGCACAGATGTGACTGTTGTGCCCCCGTAGCCTTCTGCCCCTTGGTCCCACCGTCCACCCCTTTGGAGACCACGGATCGGTTATTTTCAAGACTCAAGCAGACACTTGAGATAACTACTGCTCCTAATGTCACTAAACATAAACTCAATTTTGTCTAAGAATCAGAGATGACAAGGGAAGAAAAGGTTTCTTCTATGTTTGGGAAGCACCTGACTTTCCTTACAGAAAGAAATAGGGAAAGTCTGTCTTCATCTTTCTCAATTTACATTCCTTGCTAGTTGTCCCGAAGTGTTCCTTCCCGTACCCCTGCTGTGACATATGTTAGGGAGCTACTCCCTAGTGTCCAGAAGGCACCTGGAGGCAGAAAGAGATGCAGCTTCATCCTGGCAGTCAGGTGCTGCAGAACCCGGGCTGCCAGAGCCTCAGAGTGAGCAGGGAATTGAAGGCTCTGCAGGCTTGGGGTGGAAAAATGTCCCAGCCTATTGGTGATGTTTCCCACAGGCTCATGTGGAGCACTAGAAACACACCCTAGTTCTGGGCCTTGGAAAGAGAAATGCTTACTGAAATCTGATTCGAGAACAAGAGGAAGGTAAGCTTGTCCACATCTTTCCCTGGACTTGTTTTTGGTGTGTTAAAGCTAAAGGGCAGAGGCCATATTTTTAGGGCATGTTAATATATATTTCATGTCACCATGAGCATCATGAATCTTCATTTTGTGATCATTAAAAAAGGCATTACTCCTTCTGTAAATAGTGCTTCTTTTCCCCGCTCCCTGTTCCCTGTTAGTGTTGTCATTGTTGCTAACTTCTGTGTATATAAAAGGAGAGATGTCACTTCTAGCTCAGAAAGCCCATATTCTAGATGAATAGTAGGTTTTGCCTGTGAAAACAATTCAAATAGTAAAAGATTTAGAAACTTAGGGTTTAATGTTCCTTGTGTTCTTTCTGAGAATACTAGGAAAGCCAGTGGTCCAGTTTAGATATGGTCTCAGGATGTCTCCATGGGTTTGTGTATGGAAAACTTGGTTCTCCTTGTGGCAATGTCGGGAGGAGGTGGAATCTTTAAGGGACAGGGGTTAGTGGAAGGTGAGTAGATCACTGGCAGCAATGACTTCAGAAGGGATTCATGTAGTCCTTGCATGACTGAATTGTTACCAAACAGCAAACCTGACCCCCGGATATACCTCTGGCATCCTGTCCTGTCACATGACCTGTTCTGCACGCACTCTCACCATGATGCCATCCACTGTAAGGTCCTTACTGAGG